GGGCACCATCAGCTTTCTTCACATTTGCTTATGCACCCACTTTATCTTCAGCGATCGTGTCGGGAAGGTGGGCATCATGGAATGCCAGGTTATTAGAACAAGTGTTCTTGCATTGAGGGAGGACTTGAGTTGAGGCCCAATGTGAGACTGACTCTTTATGGAACTAGAAAGCCCTATCATTCTCCGGACTTGTAAAAAGTAGTCACTAGAAAGAGGATTTAAACCACATTGAAACATGATTGATTGTTAGATGCCAGATACTAAACAACTATTAAAATTCGTTTATAAATCTAAAGAGAACTGCTAACCACAGGTTAGTAGTTCAAATCCACCAATCACTTTGTAGAAGAAAGAAGGGGCTATTGGCTTCCTAAAGATTGATGGCCTCATTGTGTGTTGGAACAGACTGGATATGTGTGGGTTGGCTTGGGGGTCGGGAGTGGGTGTTTCACTAGTTTTGCTTCTTTGAAACCCAGCCTTACACCTACCACTTTTTGCCCATTGGGGCATCTCAAGTACTTTATCACAACTCTGACTGCCCAGAAATTTTCTTCCTAACATAGTTTTCCAACTTATCCTTCAGACCTCAGCCCAATCAGAACATACTAAGGCAAAGCTTTCCCTAACCTCCCGCTACTACATGGGATTCCCAGAGCACCATGCCTTCCCATAGAGCACTCGCCAGCCATGCCTTTTCATTTCTTTGATTGATTGATTAATAGCTACCTTTCCCCAAGTGCATTAGGCTTGAAGGGCAAAAGCCTGGAACTTGGCTCCCCCTTCCTATTGTATTTACACTGATTACCACACATGGTGCAAAAAAGGAAACTCACTGTCAATGCGGGACTCACAGCGACCTGTTGGGGTCAGAGTAGAACTGCCCCTGTGAGTTTCTGAGACTCTAACTCTTTCTAGGAGTGGAAAGTCCCGTCCTTCTCCCGAGGAGTCGCTGGTGGCTTAGAACTGCTGACTTTGCAGTTAGCAGCCCAATACGCCACCAGGACTTTTCGTACACCTGGAGGGTCATCATATGTAGAATGAACAAATGATGCCGTTAATGGGTGATGGAAGGAAGACAAAACTTGAAGGAAAAACTTTATTTCCACAATATGTCCACTAGATGGCAGCAATGTCCAGCACCAAGGCAGTTGATGGCTGGAAGGAAATTACTTGGGTGTCAGATGCAGGGCAGTTCTTCATTTGTCTTCATTATTGCTGCTGTTGTCAGGTGCCTCCGGGCCGGTTCTAACTTATATCGACCCTATGTACCACAGAATGAAATACTGCCCCATCCTACGCCGTCCTCACCATCTGCGCTCATTGTTGCAGTCACTGTATTCTTACAGGGACAGAGCAGAACTGCCCCCATGAGTTTCCACCACTGTCGTTGTTTAGGGAATAGAAAGGCCCATCTTTCTTCTCTCGAAGCTGCTGGTGGTTTTGAACTGCTGATCTTGCAGCTCGAAGCCCAACACTTAACCACTACACCAGCAGGGCTCCTCCCTTGAGAGTCTGCCACCTCTTTGTCACTAATCCACGAGAGACTGATCTCTCTTGACAACATGTTTCAAAGAACCTGAGATGAAGCCCTGTCATCCTCGATGCTAAACAGCATTCTGGCTGCACTTCTTCGAGGCAGATTTGTTTGTTCTTCTGGCATTCCACGGAACTTTCAATAGTCCTTGCCATCACCATCGTTCAAAGGCATGAATTCTGGTCTGGACACCCCTTCCTGGCGCGGCTAATGCAGGGCATTTGGCAGCAAGTAATGGAAACCCTGGCACTCAGCAGCTAAATTAATTTTTCAGGTAAAATGAAGTCAGGACAGTTGTAGGTGCTCAAGGAATCCTCGGTAACCAGGCTCCTCCTTTCAGCCTGGCAGGACCCTCCCAATTTCAAGATGGTCACTGCACGTGGAAACATTGCGTGTGTATTTAAGCAGGAAGAACAGGACCCAGAAAAAAAACCAAAGGCCCCCCTTTTGAATGTGTACCTACCTCTCCAGGATGCAAAGGGCTCACATGGCCACCCCCTGACCACTGATGCAGCTGGGAATGAATCCACTTCACTCTCTGACCTCCCATCATAGAGGATCACACAAGGCAGACACAAAGTATCATCAGCCATGAAGTGACTTTCCTCTAGGGGAGATCATCGGTGCCCAAACTTTTTTGGCTTACCGTCCCCTTTTTCTGAAAAATT